GGTTTGGGCTTCAACGTATGATTTTCAGGGGGACACAGTTCAACCCATAACAACGAGACTCCTCCTGGCCCGCCAGAAACGGAGAGGGCCGATGTCCCCTTGCTGAATTCTGCCGTGCTTTCTCAGCAATCTGGGCTATGTCTGTGAGGCCCAGGGCCGCAGGCACGGCCTAGCACGAGGCCAGCACGCCAGAGGCAGGAGGCCTCACGGGCCACCTCATCCACAGAGGCACTCCCTCATCTGACAGGGGAGGGGGCAGGCCCAGAGCCAGGAGGGATCTGGTCGGTGTCACCCAGCCCAACTTGGATGGGGGGGAACTTGTGTTTCCCAAGGGCCAGGCCCGGGTCCCGTGTCTGCACCCTGCCACCTCGCCCCACCGTGTCTCTTCTTCCCACTCCTGCCCGCAGGCCTGTCTCCCATCCTGCTTCCCAGCCCTCCTAGCTCCCCGCTACCCCTCTCCTCCCCCCCCCCCCCGCCCCCAGTTGTGGCCTAGCAGATGCTGCTTCCACAGCTCTCCTCGAAGAAGGGAGAGAGCGAGGCCTGCCTTCCTGGAGGGCCAGCCCCCACTTTTGCTGGCGGTTGCCCCAGGTCCGGCCACGCTCTCTCTCAGGATGGGCCTGGGCAAATCTCCTGGTCACTCCCCCCTCCCATCTCCCACCCCCCAGGCATTGCGGGTGATGGGGGCTGGGTTCTTCGAGAAACAAACTCTGAGATGGAGTTTAGCTGCGGGGTGTTTATTAAGGAGGACCGTTGGGGTCCACACCTGAGGAAGGGTGAGGACAGAACTGGGGTGGGCAGAGGGAGGAGCCTCAGCTGGGCCCAGGGGGAGCTCTGTAGCCCAATGGCCCCTCAGAGCGGTCCCCAGATGATACTCCCCATCAGTCATTGGGTGTGGGCTGCCCGGGAGGGTGTGGCCGTGGCCAAGAGCTCTCAGTAAGTGAGTCAGACCTTGCAAAGGGAGCTGGATGGTGCGTCGCAGTGCCTGCCACGAGGGATGATGATGTCACTTGTAAGTGCTTTGAAAGAAACTCTGGGCCAGCTATCTCGCCAGTCCCCGACAGGTGCCTTGCGCCCAGTGGGTGCTGCCTGATAACCTGTGGAACCGTGCCATCATCTGAGACCCGCCCCAGAGGCCTTAAGGAGTGTGCCCCTGGGGGCGTCTGGGTGGCTCAGTAGGTTGAGCGTCCGACCCTTATTTCGGCGCAGGTCATGATCTCACGGTTCATGGGATCGAGCCCCTCACCGGGCTCTGCACTGACAGCATGGAGCCTGCTTGGGATATTCTCTCTCTCTCTCTCTCTCTCTCTCTCTCTCCTCTCAAAATAAATAAATAAGCATTAAAAAAAGAAGTGTGCTCCTCTTCCAAGTTGCTAAGAGACTAGCGCTTTGTGGTTTCTTGGGGCTAATGAGAGACACCTTCATTTCTCACGGGGCAAGGATGGATCATTCGGGACAGTGTTTACAGGTGGGGTGCCAGTGGCTCTCTGGGTTTCCAGAGCGCTATTCACCACGGAGGCCATTGCTTAGCTCTGGTCAAAGCAGACTGTGTTTCAACCCACAGGGAGGAAACTGGCGGGGGGTGGGGAGGGGGAAACTGGGCAGAAGTCAGGCATCGTCCGGAGAGAAGACGATTTCCTATATCCCTTCACTTCTTCCTTTATTTTGAGAGGGAAATCCCAACCAGACAGGAAGAGGGATGGGGAGAGGCTATTCCTTCTGCTTCGGGAGGACGGTGGGAGGGTGGCGGGAAGATGGGGCTGAGGCTGGGGAAGCATTCTGAAGGAGTTCCGCTCACCCGCTCGGGGATCTGGCGGGAGGGGGGATATTTGAGAAGTGAAGGGCATGTCTCGGGCGGCGGCATAGCAGCGTCTGGCTGTGTTGGGGGCTCTGGGGGGACAGTGTGGAGTCTGCAGCCCTTACTCGTGCGGCGGGCTCCACATCAGAGAACTCGGAGCGGTGGCACCGTGTGCTGAGCAGAGCCGTCCTTGTTGCTTGGCGGCTGGCGATGGCGCTGGAGCTTCCGTTGGTGGGAGTAACGTAGCTGTGTTGAGGCCAGTGGGCCGAGGCCCAGGGCCAGATGGGGGAATGTCACCGAGTCTTCGAGGGTTCCACGGCACCCATGATTGCTGAGGGGAGATGGAGCTGGCTGGGGTGACGGGTCTCTGACTGCACCCAGGTGGCTGGACCAGTTCTCTGGGCGCACACTTACGTCAGGGAGGTGGTGGTGGTGGGGGGGGGGGACTGTCCGCACCTCAGCAATCACCATTCCAGGGGCGGCCAAGACCAGACACTCCGCGGCAGAGACCTGGAACCTTCCGGGGGGGAGGGGCCTGTGCGGCGATCCACTAGGACCTGACTCCTCACTCTGCACGAGGCCCCATAAGCCCTCATCCTTCAGAAGCTATTCAGAAGTGTGGCCTCAGGACCGGCAGCCGCTGCCTTACCGGGAACCCTGGTAAGAAGGCAGAATCTCGCCCCCCCCCCCCCCCGCTGTGCAGGAAGTTAAGTCTCCCCAGGGGATCTGTGTGCACATTGAAGTGTGAGAGGTGGTGGCGTGAGTTCCGTTCTCCTCCCCCATACGCCCCGACGCCACCCTGTAGGAGAGCAGTACAGGGCACGTGGAAATATAAGAGCACCCGGGCACGAACGTGGTGGCTCCGAGGGAGAAGCCACGTAGCCGGTGAGCGACAGAAGTGGGATGAGAACCCACACGCTCTGACCTGGCGTTACAGCGCCAGGCCACAAACTGGCACCTGTCCACGGTGAGCTAAGCACAGAAATTGGGAGCCTGTGTTTAGCCACCTTGACGGCACAACTTGACAGGATGTTTATGTCTGTTAGACGATCGAACGATGAAAGTTCGGGCTTGTATTTTGTAGCTCGTGTTTCTTCTTCACTTCCTTTTTCTAGCAACTCATATTTATTGTACTTGACAAAAGTATCCGCCCGTGACGGATTGAAATTAATTAACAAACAAACCAACACAAACAAGACCGGTCCCACATCCTCAGATAGTTCGAGAATCCCTGCCGGGTGCCGTGCCATTTCCAGCCAAGAGGAGAGAGTCTCTGAACAATCCGGGAAACATCACAGGCTTGCCCCACCCCGGGCAGAACGCATGAGCCCTGAGGCCTGAGGGGCCAGGCTACCTAGGAAGGCGTGGGTCATCGCTGTTTTCTCTTTCCAAGTTTCCCAGAGGCCTTGCTACCATAGGGAGGCGGTGGGTAGGTATTCACGGGGGGTGGGGGGGGGGGCTCAGGCTAAGTCATTCCATCTCCCCGCGCCCGGCAGCTGGATCACCTGCAGGTAAGTCAGCGGCGGGGTCCTTCCCTGATGTGGCCGCCGGCCTCCCGGCCTCCCGGCTGGCCAGGCGCCAGGGGCCGGGCCCGACACACAGGCCCACATCCCCACCCAGACCCGTGGTCCTGGCTTCTCCCGATTCTGGAGCGTCTGAGTCAACACGCCTAGGCCGCCTCCGTGAGAGGCTTCTCCAAACAATAAAGCAACAGGCTCTCCGAGGGGCCTGCTGATAGCAATCTATCACCACGTCTACGCTGGGGCCTCCTTTTCCTGCCAGCCGTGAATGCCTCTAATCCAGCGAAGCGGGCTGTGGGTGTCAAATTGTGAACCGCTAAGCAGGGCGAGGAGGTCCATCACATGTGGGGTGTGTGGGCCTCCCCCGTCCTTCCCGACAGCCCGGTGTGTCCGCAGGCCCGATAAGGGAGGGCGGGAGAGGCGGGCTTCTTCTCTCCCCGGGGCAGCCGCCGGCACATTTGTCCGGAATCATCAGCCACCCGGCTTCCTGAGACGTGCCCGGGGCCGGGGCGTGCCCGTCCACCTGCGGGAACCGGGCGTCTGGTGGCCGCCCTGTCAGATTAGCCCCACGGCCGGCCCCTGTTTAATGAGCGTGGCACCTGGTGCGCAGCTAAAGCCCTGCTTGTTTAGACAGCCTCGCTGGCTGCGCCACGCGTCGCCTGCACCCAGCCGGGAGGGGCAGGCCCCGGAGGAAGCCTTGTTCCTTTCTTCTTTCAGAACCGAGCCCTGGCCAGCCCTGGCTAAGGTCAAAAGGATCTTGGCAAAGGCCTGCTGGGGCCCGGAGAGCCGTATTTCCTGAGGGGCTGAGGCTGGCCGAGGGGGGGGGGCACAGGCATTGGGGGGGGGACACCCGGGGATGCAGGTGACAAGGCAGCAGGGGCCTTGGCCAGTCTGCCCCCTTCCTTGACAGACCTCCTGGGGCTGCATGCAGGCCCCGCTGGCCCCGCTGCCCTGGGCTTTCACTTTGATTGCTTTTCAGCGTGGCTGCAAAGGAAAGTCGTCGGAGCCATAGCGCCAAGAGTTCCCGTGTTCCTTTACCCAGACTCCCCAAGCGTTTTTGGCCAATTTTTACCAATTTGCAAGCGTGCACGTTCTCTCCACACACACACACACACACACACACACACACACACACACACACGCCTGCCGCTCTCCCCCTGAATCTTTCGAGATCAAGTGGCAGACACGATGCTCCTTTGCCCCTAAATATTTCACTTGCATTCCCTCAAAGTGCAAAATGAAGGACATTCTCGTAAAATAACCACAGTCTGGTTGATCAAAATCAGGAAATGAACAGGGAAGCAGTCCTATTACCTGATTGACAGCTCTTATTCAAATTCTCATTAGTTGTCCCACTAATGTCCTTTGTAAGAAAAGAAATAAAATATTTTTCTGGCCCAGGATCTAATCTTGAGTCATACATTGTATTCAGTTATTGTGCCTTTTTAATCTCCTTTAATCTGGCGTGGTCCCTTAGTCTGTCTTTGCCTTTTGTGACATGAACACTTCTGAAAAGTCTAGGCCGGGATTCTTTGTGTGGACTATCGCTTAGTTTGGCTTCGTCTGATGTTTCCTGTGACTAGATTCAGGTTCTGTGTGTTGGGCAGGAACCCCGCCGAGGCGATGTGTGTCCTTCTCAGGGCATCGTATTGGGAGGCACATGATGTCCATTTGATCCATTACTGGTGGTGTTTACTTTGATCACTTGGTGACGGTGCTGTCTGCCAGGTTTCTGTACTGTGTTGCTATTTTTTTCTTTGTAATGAATAGGCATCTTATGGGCAGAGCAATCTTTTAAAAACAGGAAATGTGATTAGGTCACCTCCTGTCCCTAACCCCAGTTGAAATCCTGATGACTTATCTTGGTGTCCCCGGAACCTCTGTGATCTGGCCTCTGTTAAGCACTTGTGCTGTCGCCTCCTTATCACCTTTCTGGGAACCCGAGGCACGCGGGCCGTCCTGCTCTTGCCAGAACGTGCCAAGTTCATCCCCCCCCCACCCCGAGGCCCTGCCTTCGTAATAGCTGTTCCCTCGGCCTAGAATGCTTTTCCACCCAGTCAACGTGGGCCTACTTCTTTGTGTCTTTCGCAGTTCGCCTCACGGGTCCCCTGAGAGAGGTCTTCTCTGGCCACCCGCGTAAAGTCGCCCCCCAGTCGGCCCACCAAAGCGTCCCGTTTGTGGTCTCAGCGTAGGACTTACCACCACCTGCCGTTTGCTCATTTGCTTGTTGTCCGTCTCTCCCAGAAGAAGAAAGCAGGGACCCCGTGCACCTCGCTCAGTGCTGTGCCTGTGCTTCTAGCGCAGAGCCTGGCCCGCAGCAGTGGGGTGAATATTGATCAAGAATTTGCTGGATGAATGCATGACAAAGTATTGCTCGGTGGTGCATTGCAAGCTGGGGTTCTAACCCAGAAGTCTTGGACTCCTGCCAGATCGTCTGTGTTGGCCACAGGGCAGCTTTGCTGGGCTTGGGCACACAAGTAGAGCAAATGACAACAGGGTAGCTCAGGGTTCCCTGCGTCGCGCCCTTAAGGGGGGAGCGACAGGAAACATCGAGAAAGCATGCTGAGATGGAGTAGGGAGGTGGAGGGATCTCTGAGCCCTGAAGTACAGATGCTTCCCTCCCTCTCCCGTCCTTCACTCCTTCCTTCCTTCCTTCCTTCCTTCCTTCCTTCCTTCCTTCCTTCCTTCCCTCCCCTTCAGGTATTGGGGGCCGAGGGGTAGGGGGTAGGGAATCAGACAGAAACATACTTACATTCAAAGCACAACGGCAGCCCGGATGTTGGCGGGTGCAGAGAGGCAGGAATTGCCAGCCCAGCCCGGCCACTAGCAGGGAGGCAGGTGGGCTTGTTCTGAGCTGGGGACAGTCTGCCAGGTGACCGGGAAGCATGCGGGAGGGGAGGGGAAGTCAGGCAGTGGTCTACCCATGCCGACTCCCCCGCCCCGCGCCGTGGCCGGAGGGCTGCGGTCGCCACCCCTAGAGCTGCTGCCCCGCAGGTCAGTGCACAGGGAGGGTGTGGCGCCCTTCTGGACTTTGGGTCTGGGAGTCGACTGGAAGGAGAGGGCAAGGCTTAACCCCAGGGGGCAATTTCAGGGGAGAGAGGCAAGGATGGGTCGTTTCCTGCAAACGTCGCCCGAAGTCACGCTGCCTGCGGGGAGTCCCCGCGTGGGACCGTGCTGCTGGGCGTGTGCCTCTGTCACCGCCAGCAAAGTGAGGATGGCTTGACGTGCTGTGTCTCCCACATTCCCCCCTCGTCTTTGTTTCTCTCAGGGAATGTCTTAGTCGGCCTGAGAGAAACAAAGAGGAGGGGAATGTGGGAGACACAGCACGTCAAGCCATCCTCACCACGGACTGGGGGGCTCAAATAGCACCCAGGTATTTCCTCACGGTTCTGGAAGCTGGAAGTCCCAGATCAGCGTGCCACTAGACTTGGTTTCTCCTGAGGCCTGTCTCCTTGGCTTGTCCATGGCCGCCCTCTCGCTGTGTCCTCCTACGGCCCTTCCTCTGCGTGCACGCAGGAGGGGCAAGCTCTCTGGTGCATCTTCTGGAAAGGACCCCAGTCCTGCTGAATGAGGGCCCCGCCCTGACGAGCTCAAACCTCAGCCACCTCCTCAGTCACACGGAGGGCGGGGGGAGGTTAGGGCTTCTACATAGGAATTTGGGAAGACAGAGTTCATTCATTCGTTCCATTGCAGGGAGGGGCCTTGGACTCTTAGCAGACCACCGTGGACATTCTCCCACCAGGTAGGTCTTCTCGGGAGCTGTCTCTTCACTCTGAATGCTGCTGGGACTCGGGGATTCGTGTCAAGAAATCTTCCTGGAGGGGCGCCTGGGTGACTCAGTCGGTTGAGCGTCCGACTTCGCCTCAGGTCACGATCTCGCGGTCCGTGGGTTCGAGCCCCGCGTCGGGCTCTGGGCCGACAGCTCGGAGCCTGGAGCCTGCTTCCGATTCTGTGTCTCCCTCTCTCTCTGCCCCTCCCCCGTTCATGCTCTGTCTCTCTCTGTCTTAAAAATAAATAAAAAAATTAAAAAAAAATTAAAATATTTTTTAACAATTTTAAAAATTAAACAAAAAAATTTTAAAGAAATCTTCCTGGAAATGTCTGGGCGCACCTAGGCAATACTGCTGACCTTAATGAAATGAAACCCAGGCTCTCTTGGGTGAGCCCTAGAAGGAGAAGTGTCAGATGACAAGAGGGGGAGTAGAGGGCTCTGTGTGTGGGCCCTGGGGCTGGGGTTCTGGCCTGAGATTCATTTTCTCCCACGTCTCTGTGGGCACAATACAACTTCCAGGCAGGAAGGGGCTGCCGGATTCTTCTGCCCTGCCCCCTGCCCCCGCTTTGGGCACTTGAACCACCAACCTGTCCCCCCTTTCATCCCCCAGGCCAGGTGTGGCCCAGGACCCCTGCTTTCTTCTCAGGAGCCCACTGAAACGAGGCTGGAACTTTCTAGAAACCTCTGTGATGGCAAATGAGAGAGTACCCAATGGAAGCCTTACTAACCAGCTTTGGAAGTCACCCGCCATCACTCCCACCAGATTCTCTTTGTTAGAAGGCGGTCACGGGGGCTGGCCTTATTCAAGGGTAAGGGATTGGAACCCACCTCTCGACGGCCGGAAAGTCAAAGGCTTGGCAGCCATGCTTGAGGATCGCCGCAGCGGCTCCCAGCGCCCTTCCCATTCCCACAGGACTCGGGACGTACGGCTCTACCCTTCGCGATGCGTGGTCTCTCTTCCCACAGGACCGCCATCACACCACCTACAGCCTTCGTGGGAGCCAGACCAGGAGAGAACGCCGTGCTTTCTCTCTGGCTGAGGCCAGACCGAGACTCTGCACAGGGGAATAACTTGGTGCCCCTCCACAGAAGGAAAAAAAATGGATTTCCCACCAATACATTTCCCACCATGTAAAACAAGATGGAGGTGTGTTCCTCTCTCACGAGCAGGCTTATGTGTGACATGCGAGCCCTGGTTTATTAAGTCCTTAGGGACCCAGACTGCCGCTTTGCCAGGCATGGCCTCCCGTCCCCAGGTCACCTGTTGGTCCCAACTGACTGCTACAGTGACATTCCGGCCATCGGAGAGGAGAAAGGACCAAGAAGAAGCAGTAGAGGGTCCCCAGAACTGAATTGTGATACTTCTGATTATAGCCTATTGGCCAAAACTCACCCACGTGGTCACTCTTAGCTGTGAGGGGCTGGGACGTGGGGTCTGTATTCCGGGGGCCACGTGCCCCGCTCCAGTCGCTGATCCTCTTAGCGGGGAAGAGGGGGGAGAAAAGACACCGTAGGTTAAGAAGCGGACTCCGCCAAACTTATTAATTAAAACGTTTTATGCGCAGACAGATTTACTCACTAATTTACCTCCCCTGGCTGTAGAAAAATTAATGGTCTAAAAAAGGGGCAAAGTGTCTTACACTTTTTGTGGTTCTTTTCCTCGTATCGGCTTGCCTTGGCAATTTCCCAAGTCAGAAAATTTGGCGGGGGAAGCCTATCGAAGGGCTTACAAATCATCTAAGAAAACGAATCATTGTTTGCCGTGAGTAAGAAAGTTACACCATGCTTTATTTGGTTTCAGATTTTCAGCTGATCGCAACTGTATGTGTGTATTACAAAAATACCCAGAGAGAGGGGTCAGTGCCAGCCAGGGTGTTTTTTAAATTTCCATATAAGGCTGCTGTTTACTTTGGTAGGAACTTGTGGAAACTTGCGTCAACTGGCAGGGGTATTTCTATTTATTCCAGTGGTATTTTGGACCCTCTAACAGACTGGTGCCCTGGGAAGCTACCCAGCTGGCCTGCCCAGCTAGCTCAGTGTCTGAGGACACGAGGAGGGACTCTGCAATTTATAGAAGACCGGGGTTCTACCTGAAAGGTATGACCTCGGCCTTAGGGTTCTCAATGTGTGAACTGTACCTCCATCTACTACCCCGACCCGGCTCATCGTCTAAGAGACCGGATTCATTTCGCAGCGCTGCTGTCGTGGAGTATCATGGACGGAACGGCTTCAACGACGGAAATGTGCTGCCTCACAGCTCCGGGGGCTGGTCGTCCACAGTCAAGGTGTCAGCGGGGCCACGTTCTCTCTAACCTCTGGCACTTCCTTGGCTTATGGTGGCATAATTCCAATCTTCGGATGGCGTTTTCTCTGCATGCACGTGTGTGTCCTGATTTCCCCTTTTTACGGGGATACCATTCACACTGGAGTAGGGGTCCACCCTACTCCAACGCGATGTCGTCTTAATTAATGACATTGAAAATGGCCCTGGTTCCAAACGCAGTCATGTTCTGAGGTACTTAGGGATTAGGACTTCAACATGTGAATTGGGGGAGGGGACGCAACTCAACCCATAACACAGACATCCACATACGGGATGATTGTGTGTGTGTGCGTGTGTGTGTGTGTGTGTGTGTGCCTCTGCACACTGTGGCCTCAAGCTTCCTGATTTTTTTTTTTGTTTTTTGGTGGAGGGGAGAGTGGTTTCCACCAGTGATAACAAGATGGCTGATGGGAAAGTGGTTCACACGAAGGACTTGGGTTCTTTCCCAACAAAGACAGGGTGACTAGAGTCTAGGGAGAGTCTGAAATTGGACAACCACAGGCAGCTGGAGCAGGAGCATTGCCATCTACTGGAATAGGCATCTAAGCGGAGGTACTTTGAGTCTGCGTTGGTTATAATGTAGTAGGATATTTGCCTCTAGCGTCAACGCGTTTGGTTCTAATAACAAAACCCCGCTGGATATGGTGTAGACAACGGGGAGATTATCACGTCCTGTGATCCAGAATCCCAGAGGCAAGCCAACTCCTGGGTTGGTTAACTCAGCACTGGGTCATCCAGGACCAAAGTCCCTCCCACCTTTTTGTGCTGGCATCGTCGGCATGTCGGTGTCGGTCCTCTGTCTCGCTTCCCTGCGTTCACAGAAGGGCTCCTCTGGTTCCAGCAGTCGCGTCCCAACACCAGTCCGAAGGCCTGATGAGAGAAGGCACCTTCCTCGAGTCCCTTTAAAAGAGTCCCAACAGATTTCCTCTCACACGTCATTGATCAGAATCGTGTCGCTGGGAAGGGAAATGGAGTTGCCTTGACTCACTGTGCCTTATCAAGCTTCACTGTCTAGAGTCGGGGAGGGGGGGGCCAGGAGCCCTTGACGCCCATTGACTGCCCTGTCCTTGAACAAAATCGGGGGGAGGTTGGCAGGGCAGAAGCGGGGAGGCCTACTGGGAAAGCACCTCCCCAAATCCGCCACATAGGCCCTGGGTCAAGTGGAAGGACAGGAGGCTTTCTCTGCCCGGGTAGAGGTGGGGTGGCAGAGTGCAGGCGGGGAGAGAGCGCGAAAGCCACGTAGAGCCGTCCGTCGATACCTTCTTAGAATAACAGTTCTCATCAGGCACTGGGTCTGACTTTAAGCTGACAAATGATTTTCTTTCACAATAAAAGTACAAACAGAATCCTAATTAATGAATTTGCCAATAGCTGTTGCCTATTTTATGGGCCTCAGCCCAGATTCAGTCTGCGGACAAGATGAGTGAGTGTGCGTGTGTGGATGTGGCCATAAATCACCCGGGGCCCGGGACAAGGGCAGTCTTCCCTGGGATCTTCCCAAGCAGCCCTGCCGGAGGGAGCTGAGACGGCCACAGCAGCCACGACAGCCGTGAAAGCCACAGGAGCTGGGACGGCCATGGCGCCTGCGGGAGATCTGTGACGGCAGAGACTGGCCTCGGCTCAGGCTCACGGCTGCTGCTGCGTGTGGCTGTGAGGGCTAACGTTTTCCTGAAGACATCATGGGCCCAATCTCCTCTCGCCCCTGGGTGCGTATTTCTCCTCTTATCATTTCTACCCAGGGAGAGGCCGTGCTGCCATCACGAACCTCCTTGTCTTGGAAGAAACGCCCAGAAGTGGTCATTCTGGTTGGGTTGAGGGATGTGCCTGTGTCCTTCCTTCAAAGACCACACGTCAGCCTGGGTCCTGGGCACCGAGCAGGGGGCGGGAAGGACAAGAGCGCACGAAGCCGTCCAGGCCTTGTTCTCGGGGGCTCCACAATCTCACCTGGGCGCTGGGCAGATGGACCGCGGGGGGAGGAAGAACTTTCTGCCCAGCCCTTTGTTTCTCACGGAAGCCCGGAGAACGTGAGCTATGGCAGGGCCCACTCTCAAGTCACGCAAGAGGCAGTTCTACTATGACCGTAGGACAACAGATGTCAGATGCCCGAGCAAGCGCGAGATGGACATTCTGAGAAACTTGCTGAAGTTGGAGGTGCCGTGGGTCACTTGCATTTTGAAGAAGCTCCCCAGGTTAATTCTTTTAAAATAAAAATTTTTTTTAACGTTTATTTATTTTTGAGACAGAGAGAGATAGAGCATGAACGGGGTGGGTCAGAGAGAGAGGGAGACACAGAATCGGAAACAGGCTCCAGGCTCCGAGCTGTCAGCACAGAGCCCGACGCGGGGCTCGAACCCGCGAACCGCGAGATCGTGACCTGAGCCGAAGTCGGACGCTCAGCCGACTGAGCCACCCAGGCGTCCCCAGGTTAGTTCTGATATAACTACCCCTTCCTCTTTACCCAGCCCCGCCTCCCACACTGCCTCAGTCATAATCGCCGAATTACAAGAAAATAACTAATAACCTCTCACATACTTACAGACAGTTGACTGTTTACAGCCTTCTCTATCCCATTTCCCTTCATCTGCCTGTACAGCCTGTTTTCCAACTACTGTTAATGATTAATAATTTGTTTAGCATTAACTGAGCTTTCCAATTTTTTTTTGTTCCATATTTTCCCTGCCGTTTGGCACACTTCTTCAGAGCCAATTCCTTGCCTTCACACAACATCAAGAAATGAATTTCCTTTATTTTTGCCCTTGATGTGGGCTGAGAAAGCCCAGTATTTCGTTTGTAATACCTGGCCCTCCAGTGTGTCTCTTGTTTTCCCAGGAGGGAGATAACCTGTGCGGGTTGGCACCCAACGGGACAGCCTTTAGACGAACGCCCACAGCGGGAGCTTACTCCTATGACGTTCCCATCTTTAGGAGCACGCGCTGTTGAAAAGGCTTCCCCAGTCTGTCTACGTCAGTGCCATTTAAATGCTTCGTTTCCTTCAGAATCTTAATTTTTTAAAAATGTTTATTGTTGAGAAAGAGGGAGACGGAGAGAGTGCAGGCGGGGGAGGGGCAGAGAGAGAGGGAGACACAGAATCGGAAGCAGGCTCCGGGCTCCGAGCCGTCAGCACAGAGCCTGACGCGGGGCTCGAACCCACGGACCGTGAGATGGTGACCTGAGGCGAAGTCGGACGCTCAACCGACTGAGCCACCCAGGCGCCCCTCCTTCAGAGTCTTAGAATGGCTGTCACTCAGTCCTGTCCATCTACAACAGCAGGGTGTGCTCGCTTCGGCAGCACATATACTAAAATTGGAACAGCAGGGTTTCCAAGTTCTTTACCGCCTCTGTCTTTTGTGACAGTTGTTAATCAGGGAGTTCAACATGGCCGCCATTACCATGGCTCTCCCAAGAGTCCTCTCTGGCTGTCTTCTTGGGCTCTTGGGGCCGGAAGTTTGAGTGTCACCAATGCCCTGTAGCCATCATGGTCCTACGTCCTCTTGGCTGCTCGCTTTGGCAAGGTAGGTGTCCGTGATCTGACGCTCAGAGCTGCTAGTTGCTCTGGGATTCTGTTTCCTCATCAGTAAAAACGTTCTTGTGACCATGGAACTGATAATACTTGTAAGTCGCTAGGGGTGTGCCTGACATATCACGGGGACTAAAAAGATACCATTTCTGTTCCATTTCCGTGCATGGCTACCCACTTTCAACTGCCAGAATCTACTTTCTTTCCGGAACAGCCTACAAACCAGGACTGACTGGCGTTGGTGCATAAGGACCTTGTTCCCCTGCCCCCGGCTGGGAGAACTCTGAGGTGGGTGCTTGATCCCGGCCCCCCAGCAGGATTGAGCTCTAGTATCCCGTTGTGCTAACTTGCTGGGAAACTCACCTTTTCGTGGTCCCTTCTCTTCCCCAGCCTACTTCCTCTCTCCATGTTTCTGGAGTCCGGCCCGTAAGCCACCAGCACAGAGATCCTTGTCTTAGAGCTGCTACGGGAAAAACCCAAACAAGGGCATTTTCTCTAGCTGTTCTCCTCAATTCTGATACGCATCTCCAAATTGCCGTCTGGGCAGTCTGCGCTCACATCAAAGCCGGTACATGTAAAATTAGACCTCCGCTCTTCTCCATCAAACTAGCCCATTTCCTGTCTCCCCCATCTCTTAGTAGTTGTACCATTTCCCCCAGTCATTCAAGGCAGAAACGTGGATATTATTCCACCACATCCAGTCGTCATTACCCAGAAATATTTATCGCTCCTCTGGTGGGAGGGCTACTCGATGTGGACCGCCCCCCCCCCACCCCAGCCAGAAGTGTCTTTGCTTTAGTG